TCGTTACCTTTCATCCCTCACTGGTGCCCCGTCAGCGTAAACTGTTAGCGCAGGCGGGGTTACCATTTCATTATTACCCATTAAAGAAAGTTTAACTCCAGATAAAAGTCATGAGTATTATGGCATAATATTCGATAATATTATACTTCGTAAATTTTAGCCGGAATTTGCTTTTGAAGAGCTTTTGTCGAATTTACAACATACCTATAGCTCGTCGACTATAGACAGAGCAGAATATTCCCTCATCACTGTCTTAACTGTCTAATTAACTATGAGGGGAAACTGCTAATAAATTTAACAAACCATCTGCATGAAGAGAATAATAGCATTAAACAAGTAAAATAAATAGCTATAGTTTGAGGGAATTCTATTGTTTGTCTGTGGCAACGCGGCAAAAGGAACGAGAATTTCCAATAGCAATAATTCCATCTAAACTTCGGAATGTAGCTTCTGTCTCAATATTTATTACCGAATTAACAATTAAATTTATTGTTACATAATATATATTATGTGTTTTTCAAACATTTTCTTTCATACAATCCTTATTCAATAAATACAAACATAACAGAAAGAATTTGCCGAATAGGTGCAGGCCTTAGTGCAGTCGTTTTAAAAAGATGCACTTACATGCATTCTGCAATTGATTTTGATAAACATATATAGAAGATTATATTAGTCTTTACTTACAAATCCGTCCGCGTGAATTTATTGATTGACCGGGATAAATAGTAGCCTAATTCCTTATCAATCATGTATATATTATGATATATGACATATTTTTATGATGTTTTGAATTGTTGCTTATTTTATTTAATCTAAATTGACATTAATATTAGCTACCTATTAATATAATTTTGCTACACCCAAACAGGGTTTCATGTACTTACTCATCATAAGAACATTGTAACAACTCTATATTATGTACGTGAATGCATTATAATAATAAATAAATAAATATCAAATTTAATAACTTTTGGTTGAAGCATTAAAGTGCAAAGATGTAACAAACAAACTTACGTTACGATTGCAATATTAGTAAAGATAATTAATTTAACTAAAAAAAAATTAATAATAAATAAAATTAATTTACCCGTTTGGGAATTGACTTTTTTTTATACAACTTAGAATGGCAAACAAGCTGACGGCCCACCTGATGGAAAATGGTAACCGGCGCCTATAGACATAAGCAATACCATGGATATAACAGAGTATACTGTTTCGCTCATGATACCCCCCATGCGTATCTCACCAATGCCACAGATAATTAAGCCAATGAGAGATTTCATTCTTATAATACTTATCTCTTGATAGTAAAATCGTAGACTTAAAATTATACAATACCACCAAAGTACTTGATTTATACTTGTGTTTACAAAATGTTTCATCGTGAATTGCAGACAACACTTTCAGTGTCATCAAATATTGATTTAAGTACATGAAAGTGTTAAAAGGTACCGGATTGTATTCTGTTAAAATTGTCAAACGGAAATTTTAACGAGAATTTGCGTGTACATCTTTTTCATCGCATTATTTATTCATTTCAACATTTTTGAAGAGGACAACAATTCTTGCCAGGCCAATGTCTAGAAGATATCTAAGAACTGTTTAAATATTGAAAATGCCTGTTGTTTAACAAACATTTTGACGTTTTGTCACTGGGAATTCTATAGACGATTCTAAATAGCGACCTTTTCAGAAACAACGGTATTATGTATTTTGTATCTCATTTTCTTTGATTAAGATAAATCCGTACTTAAATGTACTTACGTATGTAGGTACTTATTATAATTCAACGCATATTTTTTTTTATGTAACTATGACTGGCAAACAAGTTGAAGAAAAATGGTAATTGACACCTATAGGCGTTTATTCCACTTTATTTAGACCATTTGTGAAGACGTTATGCCAACATACCCGAGAATTTCACTGCCATAATATATATTTTAAATAAAAACACTGCTTTGTAAGCACTGCTGCTTGACAGTAACAGAAACACTAGGGGAACAGAAGTAAGATAATTTCAGTGGTTCACCGGCCAACATTGGTGGTCTTCCACTTCGTAGTTACTAATTAAGGAACATTACTTTGTACAATTAAAATTCAGAACATACTTAATTTTTTAGATAGACATCTTTATGTTTACAAATTTTCAGTGTTACGCTTATTACATTTACTCATAAATGATCCTATGAAAGATACTTGCCCAGGCTGATGATAAATAAGTAAATCAGACAGTACGTGTTTAGATATATCACAAATTATATTCGCAAACGACAAGATCATCAAAATCATACCGCTGACTGCATAATATTTAATAATAGTCGGTTAAATAGAACGTTAACGAATACTTAACAAAACTCTCATTTTACACAGATAAAGCACTTAAAATAGTGTCAACGGCCGTATCGTATTATTGCCACAGCCTTGTGGAATTAATGTACAGCGTACGAGTATATCGATTTTACTTACGAGCGTAAAACTGACGTAAACGTAGACTAAGTACAAATAGATTTAACACAACACTATATATTACAAAAACTACCATCATTAATGGGTATGACAAGTGATAACTAACGATTTCCAAAAAAAGGAAATTTTAGGAAAGAATAATTTTTTATGTGTAATTAATTACATACGTAATGTCTATGCCAATATAGAACTGATTTCAATAATTCTTTTTGCAATCGAACATGAACTTGATTTAAAAAAATAAGTTTCAAAATCCGGTCAAAATTTGCAAATTGCGGATATATCGCATACCTAATATCCACACAAAAATACAGGCGAATTAATAACTCCTTTTTATTTATTTAAAGTCGCTGAAGGAAAACATTCTAAGTTGCATTAAAAAAAATATGTATGATGAGTGCATACACATATTTAAGTCCATAATTTTGAAATGTATGGTAGTTACCTTTTTAGTATCATGATGAGAGTATGCAACATCCACCAAAATCACTTATTAGCGATGAAATTGAGGTGGTTGGTCGCTAAACAAAATTGAACACGAAATAATAGAGACTTGTGGTTTTGTTTATTATTTTGTTTGATTATTTTGTAATTAAACATATTTTGAGACAAAATTTCTCAATTGACGATATATAAGGATGTGAATAAAAATTAACTAGACTTCAAGAAGCATTTATATATTTTATAAATGAATTCAGTCTGCTCCAATAATCACCAAGTATTCTTATATTACTATTATATATATAATACTTGGGAGACTATTAAATTAACCTCGCATTTTCTAGAGGAAGACTAAAAAAAATGGTCTGCATAAATACCTTTGTCCTACTCGTGTTTCTGCCGCCAAGTAACTCATAATATAGGACTTCGCTAGCCTTATTGCATAGTTAAAATTGAGAAAAATGAAGTGTTTTTAACAAGTGCTGCTAGTAGTTCATTCTCTTTATCTATATTATTATCATCTTGTACACAAAAAATAAAATTTATTATAGACACACGGCTATTATTTACCTTTTCCTATAAAATAAATCTACCTAAATCTTTGTATGATTACTTGTTACATTTTACATATTACCTATTATATAAAAACTCTCTCCGGAAGTTTTTTTTTTTTTTTCATTTTGTTCAAGAATATTGCCATTTACCTATCCCGTACAGATAATTCAAGTACGATTAGTTCTCTTACACTACTATTGCTTATATAATCGGCTTATATATTATCCTCTGAAATTTTATAAGTAATACGGATATATTATATTTGGATTCCGACCAAATTATACCCACATGGGGATTAATCAAGGCCCTTATATATATTGAGTTATCAAGGCTTCATGAAAATCCTGAATAGGATTAAATAAATCCCTATAAAGGATAGATTACGATCATCAATATAAATTCTGTTCCATTTATTAAGGCTTAGGTTCTGATTGTACTTAAGTTTAAATAAATCTATCTTGACTAATTATACCTACCTGCGACTTTATGTAAGTGAATGGGGTAAAAAGTATATACCTATATACATATATTTCTCAATACCACCTACTACGTGGTTATCAAACTTCATTATCACTGGTTAAACTGACAAAACATTAAGAGTTAACTTTATTAAAACAATAGAAAATAAATAGTAAAGTTGATATTAGTAATAATTTATACGCATAATAAGTTTATAATATAAATAATATAAGAATAATAATAAATATAAAGAAAATAATAGTTCAACTGATAAAAGTTACTATTGGAAAATGGTTATAAGATTTATCCCGGTCAGTGAATATATCCCGGACACGCGGATTAAGTCACGTATAAAAGATAGTCTCTCAATAATTATCCTACTAATATTATAAATATGAAAGTTTGCAAATTTGTTTGAATGTTTGTATATTTGCTACTCAGTTACGTATAAGATTGAACGGATTTGAACGATATTTGGTATATGGATAGGCTTATATTATTATTATTATTTCAACCATTATTACTGTTTAAATTATATTAAATTATTACTTTATTAGTACCTTAACTTGTATTGTTTCTTTTTTTATATAATTTTGTGTCATTATGCCGTATAGGGAAGAGCACTGCTTATCCTAAAGTACAGGATTTACCTATTTAGGGAACAGAGTTTAACCTATATTTAAAATGTAACATTTATTTTGAAATAAATTATTATTATTATTATTATAAACCATTAACTGTTCACTGTTGGACATAATCCTTCCCCATAAGAGAAGTTTTGCCAGTAGTTGCCACTCTTGGCTGGCGGGTTGGCAACCGCAGTTAGGTTAGTTTATTTTGAGATGTTTTAAGAGGGACGCTAGTGCCCTTCCTTTAGTCGCCTCTTACGACACCCACGGGAAAGGTAGGGGCGGCCCATTCTATGCCGGGGCACACACGGTGATAGATAGGCTATGTTTACTTGTAAATAAAATACTTTATATACTGACTCATTCAGGTAAAACAGCTAATTATAATATAATTTTGTTATTTTAGCAATATTTTTAAAATTGATCCATCCCATAAATAACACTCACCTCTTCCATCAACTGCTTGACCTCCTTCTTGACGCTGGCAATGAGCCGCTCCTTCTGCTCCGCATTGGGATCAGCTGCGGCCGGCATCTGGTCTGAGTCGCTTTCCACTGAAACAAAATACATCTATATAAATAAAAAAAAATCAATCATCGAATATTTATAAGCGCATCACCACAGAACGACTGCGGCTATTTATCTAATTGTTTCATTTTGTTATATTTGTAATTGTCAGAACAAAATTTTGAAATTAAGAAAATGTTTGAAAACTCGTACGAAAAAGTGAAAAAATTAAATTTAAATACATTCATATAAAAAGTTAATGAGTGAGAGGAAAGACTTGGTCTCATTTTCTTCATTAGTACACCCCTGCGATATCAGGACTGGTAATTAGTCAGTTGTTAGTGTTATATATTCATATATATATATATATATATATATATATATATATATATATATATATATATATATATATATATATATATATATATATATATATATATATATATATATATATATAACATAATTTTGATATTTTTTTAGACACCAAGAAATTACATAATACAAAAACGGAAAGAAACATGGTAAGTATATTAAATTCCGTTGTCGTTGTTGTTATAAAATATACAACCAAAATTGCGTGTTCAAGGCAGAAAGTATTTCAGTATTTTTTTAATTTTCTTAAAATAGTCATTCATTGTATTGTATTATTTTACATAGTATCATTGTACATCTGGTAAATCTCTTCTGCCATAAAACAACAGTGAAGAAGACATGTATTCACCATTTTAATACCTAAAAATTATTAAACACTACCTCTGTTCGCTCCACTGTTGGAAATATTATATTGTATTCTCAGTACTTATGGTACATCATCATAAAATTTTGTACACATTTGACACAACGCCATCTAGTTCCAACAGAACTTTTGTGGGTAGATACACTCATAAACTTATAAATATTTTTTGTTTTGTAAATACATACTACGTACATAGAAAGTACCTTAACCAATACAGACAAACATACTCCTGAATACAAATGTTCGTGTTGTGTGAAATTCGAAACGTTCGATCATGGGAGAGTGAGGTAGTGTGTTAATCCGCTATACCACCTAGGAGGTTTAATTTATTCATTTTAAATATTCGCATAATTTATACGAAATTTCCGAGACTTAATACGATTTCAGGTAAATTATATCTCTTATGACGGATAAAATTCTACGCTGCTGATTATCCATCGTCTGAGTATCTTCATAATTTTGGCGTGAAAAAGCCCCTTTTTCGCCTCCTCCGCATAAATTAATCTATTCATACAAGCTCGTCAGTTTCCGAGTACATTTAACCAGGGCTGGTCTCATCTATCTGGCACCCTTCGACAAGTTTTTAACCACCCCACCCCCTCTCGACGAAGAAAAAATCTTTTTGAAGAGAAAATTTCTTTAAGCGCATTAAGGATTTTTTGAGATGGGAAAAAAAAACACTAAACTCGCGACACTGTTACCGTTACTGTAACCGACACATCTGTATATAAGTATCTACATATATTGTGTATGTACGTACATAGATATATATGCATGTTGACATTTTTTGGAATGGGAAAAAGCCATTGAACTCGCGACACTGTTACCGTTACCGTAAGCGACACCTGTGACGATTCAAAAAATACACACGTAGTTGTTTAAGTTTTCACTTCTGTCGACACTCCCGGAGGTCCACAAGTTTTGAAGGGGGACAAGGTTCACAAGGGGGACGTTGAAAATTTAACTAGAAACGCCTGGTAATTTAAGGCTCGCCTTACTTTTTCATCTTTCCCTAATAACCAAATCAACACAATATCCACGTTTCCAACTTTATAATTTCCGCCTACAGTAATACCGAGGAAAATTTATAATACATTTAATTACTTACACACTTCCTAATGTTGTTTTGAATGTGACACAGCTAGTTTAACCTTTTGACCTTTGGTAGCAATTTTGTGTTTGTTGAAGACCGTGATTACAATAACGATTCTTGGAGTTAATGGAAGTTTCAGTAGATGTTAACATTTATGTTAATTAGTTGAAATAAGTTTATCTGCTCTAAAAATTTAAAGGTTGTCTACGGGTCAGACGCACCTAAGTATATATTAAGTGGGCTCGCATTTTCGTCTGCGTGATCGGAGCCTTGTACTTGACAGGGTAGCGTGTATAATATGCCGAATTTCATGACAATTGAGTCGTTAAGGCGTAAAAAGGTAATAAAAAACTGACAATCTCACATTTTCAGATACAAATTTGTAAGAAAACAAGAATTGTACGCAGAACTATGATATAGTATAGCTATTCGTATTATCGTAAAGGGTCCTCTAGGTTAGACCGAATAATAGATGCCTGAACATTAATCCTCTAGAACTTATTTGACTGATGCATTAAAAGCCCAATTCATAGGTTTTTATCTGTTCTCATAGCAATAACTGTAATATTATTTAAAACGGATTTATAGGATATTTAAACCACTAAAATATTAAGTAACCTAATATTCTCCTATTGCAGAAAGTCCTCATCCTGAGAATGGAACATTTGGATTGTAATTATAATTATTAAGTATAATCTTAGATATATTTTCTAAGCTTTCATTTATCGAAGACTATCAAGTACAATAAAATTATTATTGTTCAGCAAATGTAAAAGATATGCACGAATATTTTCTTAAAATTTTGCCTTTCGTCCAACCTTAATTGAAATTATCAGTTGTCAATTACGTTTGAGTACCATAAACAAACTACAAATAAATACTCAGATAAACTATTATAGTGAGTAATCACTAAATAAACTACGTGAATGTATAGTCTTAATTCCAGACATACACTACACCTACGATTCCATGATATCTGAAGAAAATCCCCTCCCCTTATCCTTCTATGGGATCTAACTCCGTTTTTTTACTCTCCTTTGCCATACTTTTTAATCATAAAGTACAATTTATGAAACAAATATTAGGTACTAGCTTTCATCCGCGACTTCGTCCGCATAACTGGTATATATTCACTGACCAGGCTAAAAGTTAGCCAATATCCTTTTCCGTCCCACATAGTACGTTTATACCAAGTTTCATAGTAATTAGTTAAGCCATAAGATAACAAAAAATCACTCACTTTCACGTCTTTAATATTAGTAATGCTAAAGATTTCCAATCTCGAAATAAAATCTTATGCCAAGCCAATACACAGTTTGCCAAATAGTGACACAATAATGGGTCGCTAACGTTAATAACTAATCAGAGATTAAGGATAGAATCTACTTGTAATTAACTATAGATTGAAATTCTGTTATCAGACCGTGTATATATATGTATATACAATAAAAAATCATTCGTTTTTCATTGTACACCTAACTTACGAGTAATTTGTTTCACTCCATCGACCCCGAAAACTACAAAATGCTGTCTCGTTTATGCTCAATTGGAAACTTTAATATAAATTTCGTTGAATAGGATGCCTACCTATTTTGTAATAGACGGCCAATTCTATGAATCTAATAAAGGTATATAGTTATATAGATAACTAATAAACACAAGTTATGTGTTTATTACCTAACAGCAGCTGCTTGTATATTATGATCGATGAGAAGTCACTTAATAATGTTAAGTATTCTGCTCTCTGATGCTTTGCTCGCGTAGAGAATATTTAATTTAAACAATTAGATATAGGTACATATTTTTTTTTTATTAAATAATATTTAAGAAAATTAGTCGTATTGTAGTTTAATAACAGTAAAGAGTTAGAAATAGTTTATACTTTGTAGTACCATTAAAATAATGTTAGTGACTAAGAAATTTTTCTTTTATAGGTATACCTGATTTGGAATAGCGAACAAGCTGATGACCTTTTAATACTTACTGGGTACAGAGGAATAACACCTGAGTCCTCAGGAATGGCAACGCATGGGGAGTATCATGAACGAAACAGTATACTCTGTTATGTCCATGGTGCTGCTCATGTCTATAGGCGACGATTATCTTTTTTCATCAGGTGGGCCGTCAGCTTGTATGCCATTCTAAGTCGTATAAAAAAAAGAACAAAAAAAAAAGTCGAAACTGTCACCTATAAACATGAATAGCATCTAGAACATTTTTTTTTATACAACTTAGAATGGCAAACAAGCTGACAGCCCACCTGATGGAAAGTGGTAACCGTCGCCTATAGACATGAGCAGTACCATGAACATAACAGAGTATACTGTTTCGCTCATGATATCCCCCATGCGTTGCCATTCCTGAGGACTCAGGTGTTATTCCTCTGTACCCAGTAAATTCACGCCATATCCCACTCTTCAAACCGAAACACAGCCATGCAAACAAAAGTGATTCACGGTTGAAACACGAATGGACAGAGGTGCCCAAGCAATCGACTTTTGTACAAAGTCTCCCTCTAGTAATCGCAATATTCTTACATTCTGATCTGATTTGATCTGTTATAGTAGGAAAAGCAATGAATAAGACCACCTCTAGAATAGAATAGAATAGAATACTTTATTTGATTTAAATAGGTAACAAAAAAGTTCTTATTGAAGAAATAAATAGTTTCATATCCAAATTATAAATTAAGGCATTTTTTTAATACCAGTACCAATAATTGATTTACAATTCACAATATACAGTACCAAACATAATATGTGACAATCATTGTTATACATTTTATCATTTGAAATAATAAATTTAGTGTTACAATTTAGCTGATTACATTATTTTTAATGTCAGTAGATTGTGTAGTCCTAAATGGCGTATAAAGATAAATGGTCCCTCGTAACACCGCTGTGAAAACCGATTCCAATTTGATGCAATCGTATTACATGATACTGGGTCAAACATGGAGATACACAGAAACAAAAATTCTAAAACTTCTTGTTTCAGCTTCAATTACTCTTATTAAAAACTCTCGTATTATTTGTTCTTAAATATCTCCTATGTACAGTTCATTGCCTAGTTAAAATTTTATTAGTATGTTTATAAATAATATGCATAGATATCTAATTAATTACATGTTCGCCTCGGAATCATAACATGCAAATTTTGTAAGCGCACATAAAGCTACAGTGCTGTGCATAAATTATATACCTAGCTATATATTACAA